AGCAATACATACTTCCTATGGGCAGTGCACTAGTTTCTCTAAGAAAACTAAGTGAGATTGTTATTTTGCAGTTGAATATATTATGAAATCCATACAATACAAAACATAGTCACGGATGGTCGGTTTACTCACGACAGAAAGGGCGCCCTTATGGAAATAGGTGGGAACCACTGCAATAGACAATGACCAGGGTTGGCCAAGGCAAACTTACGTACAGACATAAAAACCAGCACATTTTACTGCAGCGTCCTAAAACAGCATGTTAGTCCACTCCTTTTTCCCTAAGGAAGCCCTCTCTCAACTGACTATGTTACATATTTTATGGATATTTCATATTATATTCAATGCATAACAATAAAATGTTATTGGAAAAATCATTAATCAGAAATTAGTTTTGCTCATATTTTTAGGAACTTTTTATACAATTTTCTGGCTGTATTATGTTTTTTGTTTGTTTTTTTAACAATCGTACAGACTTGATAGGCTTCCTTTGGACTAATTCTGTGTTTTCTTCTCCCTGACGCTTGGTCATTGTTCAGGGTTCCCACTCTTTTAAAGAAATTGTTTTTCTTTCCCAGGACAACAGGATATTTGGTCATTTTAATCAATTCCCTGGTGTTCATGACTGGAAAACTAGTCTCTAAATTTCCAGGTTTTCCAGGCTCTTATTGTTGTTTGTTTTCTTTTTGAATGCAGGATGACGCTGTTCATCAGACAGTGGGGGCTCTGTGAATATAGCTTGTGTTTAGCTCTTCAAAGTTTACACCTTAATTAATAATCTAAACTTTATCTATTTTATTTAGTTTTCCTCACAAAATGCTGAGATATAGGCCTACTGTGTATATTTTCTACGTTTTCTTACACCCTTTAAAATCAAAAAGACCCCCTGAGAAGCTTAGTGGGGTCCCAACCCCCAGTTTGGGAACCAGTGCGTTAGTTCACACAGACCACAACAGCTCAAGACTGAAAACACATGAGCAGCAGGTCAAATATAAAGACCTTATTATTATTAAAGAGATTATTAAAATAGATCTGAATTCACCAGTGATGTTTTCTAAGCAGCAGTCTTCCGGTTTGTTGTTATCCAAAACCACTTCTCCAATTTCATAAATCTAAATTATTCGGAATACTAATTTTATACTGCAAAAAGTAACGGCAGCAGTTTTAGCATCTCCAAGGTGTGCTCATGTGAGTGATGCACTGACAGAGTAAGTCTTCCCCACTGATATCAGGACAGTGGTTCTTATTGAAAAGATATCTGTGCCTTTATTGACCAGTACATTGATACTGATTTGACCCTTTAATATGAAAATGTATTGTCTGGCTGTTTTTCTGATTCTTCTACCAAAAGAAATCGATACTATATCAATAATAATAATAATAATAATCGTTCTCTCCTGACCGCCCCCGGTTCATCAAACAATAATAAAATAATAATAATCAATAATTGAATCCTACTTCTTGCAGAATCTCATATTCAGAAATCTAAATTGTCCAATCATAAACCATATTTTTTCATTTTCGAACATGAAATCAAACAATACATTACACCACTCCTAATCCCTAAAAATAAGAAAGTTATTCAAACCTTAAATAGATTTGTGCCCTATTATACACTATATCAGATCTATCTATATCAATATATGTAATATTTTATGAATTATTATTATTATATGAAATATATAATAGTCAATACATAACAATAACAGTAGAGAACAACTGATATAAACTGTACAAAAAACAATAACAGTGACCACAATAACTGCAGTTTGGATAACTTTTGATTCTCTGTCTATTGTACGTCAGCTTTTTTGACAGGAAATGTAATAATTTGCTTTTGCTGAGTAAATGCAAGTGGTAACATTTGTATAAAGAAGATGTATTTAAGGTAGTCTTACTTCATTCTGAGTCATTCTGTTAACACATTTTAAATAAGTTGGAAAAATACTGCATGAGTGTAGTATACTAGTTTTAATGGAATTGATACAATGAACTTAATTTACCCAAGTTACCTTAACAATAAATAATTGAGTTACTTGTACTCAAATCAAATATTTTTCCATGCCCAAATTTTAAAGCTGCAGTTAGTAATTTAAAAAAAACCTGAAAAAAAAAACAACAACAATCAGAGCTGAGAAAGATAGCCTATTGTTGGGTCTCATTCCAAGGTCATCAAATAACAATGCTTTGGGTCCCAAAGGTTTAAGCCACCAGTGTGTTGATATTTGACAATCTGGGAATGACCAGTTATCTTTCTTGGCTCTGATTGGTTGTTTTTGTTCAGTGGATTCATACAAATGCCATTAGGAGCACTAGGAGGAACCACAGTACTCAGTATATAGTTACAGTTTCCCAGGCAGCTTTAAGGCGATCAGTTTCCTCAAAACGTTTGAGTTGAACTAACTCATCAGGCGGTAATCCGACGTTGATATGGCAGTATAATGAAGTGTATGCATGTTGAAAATGTTGATTTGAAAAACAATGGTTAAACAAAAAAAATCTTAAAGTCCACTGGGTGGATTTTTCTGGAGCTTTAAACCACATATGAGGTCTTCTTCAGTGGATCAGGCTCAGTTGGAATGAGGTGAGGTTTGGAGCAGCGGTGGGGGGGCTTTGAGTGCCTCCTTGCCTCAGTTAATGATATCACTGTAGTTCCATTCATTATCGGAGGTGTGGCCTTTTGATTCATAAAATCCAGCTCTCACCTCCTTGTGTTCTGCTCCAGTGAGCAAGCTGCAAACATATCAATACTCTCACAGAGGGGAAATATTACTGCTCATATACCGACGACCCCCCCACAGAGCCGGCCCACATTTTACAATAACGGCCTGCGCTTCCAACATGAGTTACTTTGGGGAGCTGAAAGTGCTCATGGCAGCTGTTTTTATTCAGAAATATTTACTGTAGCCTATATTTACGGCTCTCAATGAAAGCAGCACAATCGATCGTTCACTCTCCGTTCGTTCTCTCCTGACCGCCCCCGGTTCATCAAACTGGCAGCGTGACCTATCGCTGCTGGCGTCACAGAGGAGCGCGGGGCTGAGAGGGTTCCCCGCCCCGGAGGATATAAATACAGGGAGAGGGATCACCACCAGAGATTACCTTGAAGATTGGACTCTGTGGACACCAGGCTCACGGGATCTCTGACACCATGAAAGTAAGTAGATTTGCGTTTTGGTTTAATTTTATTGGATAAAGGAAGGGTTTTCCTTTTCCTTTTAACTGCCTAGTTTCACATATTTCTACAAATAATATCCGGATCATTTTGAAACATACTGTTAAAAAACATTTTTTTCTCTTGGAGTCGATTGAAGTAAAGACGGTTTTGATTTTAAAAATCCTGAATTACTTTACAGAAGCCGATTATTATAAGTGTAGCCCGATATTTTCTGGCATTTTACGCATCCTCTAACTGCAGATAAAACGTTTTCTTTTTTTCAAACAAGGTTCGTATTATTCATTATTAGTAGGCTAGTTATATTCATAATATACTACTTTGCACTTTAGTTTCAAAGTTACTCCATGAATTGAAGGCTTGGTGGAGTGATTCCTAATGCGCGCACCCCGCGCGTTATTACGCACAGAAACACTCATGTCTGATTGAGTCTTCTTCTGTTGCTGTGTTAAAAAAATGAAAGTGACTGAAAACCTTTATCTTCCACAGGGTTTGAGGACCATCACATTAACTTACGTGCTCACCCTTTTACTGCTGGCGTCGTTCATCTCACAGTCGTGGAGCGCGCCAAAGGTGAAGCTGCTTTATTTCTCTCTCTTGAGCATTTGACAGCGAGGTTTTCACTAGTACCTGAAGGGAAAGAGCTAAAGAATCTGAAAAAAGTTACAGCTTTCAGATGAAACAAAGTCCCTTTCTTTGTTTTCTCCATTCAAGGGCTCTTTCCAGCGGAGAAACTGGACCCCGCAGGCTATGCTGTACCTCAAAGGCACTCGTATGTATTTACCTACTGATCCTGGGCCTAAATGGAGAGCCGAAGTGTTCAGTATTAAATACATTATGCAATTAATAATATAATTTATACATTTTATTTTATTTCAAAAGGCAGTCTGTTTGTTTTTTAGTCAGAGTTTAAGTTGTAAATGTAATAATGTCATATCTATTTATTTAAAAAAAAAATCCATATTACAAGGAAACAATCTGATATTGTAGCTATAAGTCCTTTCTTATCTGTTTCTAGACACTGTTGGTGTTGCATGTAGATGAATGGTTTAGTATCTGGTGATTGTTCTGTTTGTACCTGCCCAGGGACTGCAGATGGAAATGAGTTAATAGCTAAATCTGTCATAAATCATCTCTTCTCATTTTGAGATTCATGTTTTTGTGCATGGTCCTTGTTCAATGAAGATTTAAGCTATTACATTCCAAAAAAACTGTGTGCTGATGCATGTTTTTCTTTTTTTTCCCCCAGAGGGACGCAGGTTCATCTCAGAGGACCGAAAAGAAGGAGATGTCTATGACACATTACACTTAGGTACAGAGAACATTACTAAACAAAATTGCTCTTTAATTAATGAGAAGGTTCCCCAAAAGTCTTGGAGCTGGAATGAGGCGGACAGATAATTTGTGTTTATTCCCCGTCAGAGACCCGCAGTCAGAACACAGAGAAGCTGAGCGTGGACCAGGCAGCCACTGTCCTGCTGAACTTCCTGCAGCAAGCCAGAGAGGGAGGTGAGAGGAGAATCTGTAATGGCTGGCACACAGCAGCTGGAGCAGATGTGCAGGTCATATGTCAGGGCTGAGGTTTTAGAAGTGGGGGGAAAAACTAGTCCCTGAATTTACATATATTCATATAAATCTAGGAAATACCACATTCTACATTCTGTATTTTTAAGATCCTTTACTGCTTTGACCTGATTGACGCTCAGTTCTAGTGTTTATATTTCTTCAATCACATTATAGATAACATGCCTCGGTAGTCAGTACCGTCAACTTTATTGAGCCTGTATGGCAAAACCCAGGGCAAACAGTCAACAGAACACTTTCTACTGCTCATAAAGCTTAAAGCTCCCTATCATGGAAGTGATTCTCTTGGTCATACTGGATAACTATTGCTACTTTTTTGGGTTATATCCACATGTTGAAACTAAGTTTCAAGTTGCACCTATTGTAAGTGGCTTTGGACAAATAAATGTAATATAACTACTACTGCTGGATAACTGTTGGATAACTCACCAGCATGTTCATTGCAATGTAATCAAAGTGTTTACTGTCATATGCAGTAAAAAACAATTTTCCTGCACAATGAAATTCCTCCCTTGCCCTCCACTCTGAATGCCATTTGAAAGTATCCAAAAGAGAGAAAATAAGTATTTAAGAACAATATGTACAATTACAGTATATAATGTAAAATATCTGATATGCAATTTACGCTATACAGTAACAGAAATAGTGTATATTGTATATCCAATATTGTACATTAATATGGCGTTTTAATGGTTTTAAACACAAAAATATTTAAGTGCCCTCTATCTTTTAAGACAAATATTCTATTCCACAAACTTTCAAGGATTTAATATAAAAACATCCTTTGCTCTGTCTTAGACTCAAGACTTATATTTTAATTCCAAATTTCTCTATTCTCTTTCTCTCATCCAGCCGATGAAAACCCAGACGAGGTGTATTTCCAGGAGCTGCCGGTGTGGAAGAGAGAATATTTCTGATCGTCTTTCATACATTTGTAAAGCTGCTGGACAACATCGTCATTGTTTTCAAATGTAAGGTTCTATGTGAGGGAGAGGAACAGCTGTTGTTTTTGTAAATACCAAATGTAATGTTTTAATAAAAAGAGTTTGAATTCATAGCACTATTGGTCTAAGATTGTCTAAGTTTTTTTAAACTACTTTGAAGTTCTACAGCAGTGTTTATGATGGCGCAGCCAGTATATAAATTAATCAAAGTTTTATGTGCACACAGCATTTTCCATTCCATTTGAGGTTAGCTTGCCCTATATCACATTTAATTAGGATACATTAAGTATACACCCCCGAGTTCAAGATGAGTCATCAAAAGTACTGTTTCATAGGAGGAGAATATACAATATAAATACTCAAAAATAACCTAACATATTTGACAGACTGACAAATTAACACAGGCATACAACATTAGAAGTGATTAGAAAATGCTTTTTTTATTTCACTGTCATTAAGGCAGACAAGATTAGTTAGACAATTATTGGATTACATTAGAACATATAACTGTGTGTCCTTTGCATAGCGATGGAGGTCATCATTCTGTGGCCTAATTGAGGAAGCACGTTGAACACAACAGTTGGCCCAGAATGGAGCCTTGGGGAACGCCATGATTAAACTGAGCCTCGAGTCTGGGTTTTGTGATGGACCTGGATCCGGGCTAGTATATAACTTTTTAAAAAATTTTAACTCAAATCCACAAACCTTCAAGAAACGTTGCAGTGGTGGAAGTACACTAAGTGATGGCAGTGGAGATGGGGGATTTTATTGCAGCGGGTGTGTAAGAATATGATGGTAATTACTCACTACACATCCAGCAGTAAACCTGTGTACAATCTGCATGGTAGATTTCAGTTGCCTGACTCTCCTGGTTGCTTCTTCTTGCCCTCCGGCACGGCACCCAGGACGAAGGGGGCCTTGATGTTCAGCCGGTCCCTCTCAGCCTCCTCGTCTTCATCATAGGGCTCGTCATCATCATCGTCCTCCACATCACTGTGGTGGGGGGTGGAGTGGAGGGAGGCAGATGGTGAAGGGGGCACCGAGTAGGGCCGGGGGTAACGGAAACCTTCTGCCTGTGGAAACAAAGCTCTCCCAGTCATTGTAAATTACGCTTCCAAGCAGTTTTCAGTGCATTTCTATGAAAAATATTCAGAGACTCAAAATTTGCTGCAAACAGTTCCTTCACAATCAGTTGCTTCATGGATTGTATTGAAAAAGCTGCAACATCAGTAATCTCTGATATACCATCCCCTCTTACATTTTTTGTTTTTTATTCCCATTTTCCCTTTGTGCCTTCTATTCCCTTTTATTTGCCCCTTGTATTCTCTTCTTCTTCTTCCCTTCTTCCTTTCTATTCTATCCCTATTTCTTTCTTGCCTTTGTATAACCTCCTGTCCTTAATTTCATTTTTGTCTTTCTTCACTTCTTTCCTTCACTCCCTCCTTCATCCACCCCCCTTTCTCTCCCTCGTACTTAGTTTTCTCCCTCTTTCCCACCATCCATCCATTTTCTCTGTCTTTCCTTCCATTTTATTAACTATTTTTTCTTTCAATCTTTCATTCCATTTCCCCTCTATTTCCCTTTCCCATTTCTTGGTTCCGCCCCTCTATTTCCCTCCTACCTTCCATTCTCACTCTTTTCTTTCTTTCCTCCCTTCAGTGCTTGCTTCTTTATCCCTATTTCTTCGCCTATCTCCCTTTTTTATACCTCTCATATTAATACATTTCAATGATAAACAAAAATGTTATCAAATTAACTGAAATTCAAATTTGTACCAAACCTGAAAACTGTGTATCAGATACCGTATCAGTCCGTGGATAAAAGAAGGATGAGCGAAACAAGAAAGGGGCATTCTTTTTTTATGCAACTACAGCACACTCCACGATGACATTCATCCAAATGTTAGGCTGTCAATTAAAGCCTGACAAATGTGGGTAAAATCCAACAATATCTACTGTGCATCAGTCAGTACATGGAAGGTATTCTCATGTACATGTATGTGCTGTTAGAGGAAGACTTTTTTTCAAGGTTATCAGAGAGCATTTCAGTGGGAGCCACCAACAGATGATTTTTAGACTGTAGCACCATTGCAAAATTGTGCTCAACAACCCAAATGTAAAGCTGTTGCTCTCTTTTCCAGTGAAAACTCTCTGCATCTAATTAGTCACCCAGGCACACCCGATGGTTGGGTTTAGAAACTTTTGAACAGGAGGAGGTAGACTGGGGCACAGATTCAAAAAAGCCTTGGTTCTTGGCAATGTTCAGCTGTACATGATTAATAGTTACTTTATTTACCCAGTGTAATCAATCAATGCCAAAGATCCCCCACCCCTCCTATGTATGAACAAGACACCAAAACGCCCAGAAAAGACAAGGCGGCATCTCTTTTATTATCTTATCTAGTCTCTTAGTGGTCATTTTGCATCACTCTGTGGTCATTTTATTTCTCTTTTTGGTTGTTTTGCATCTCTCTAGTCGTTTTGAGTCTTTTTATGGTTGTTTTATGTCTCTTTTTCTAGGTATTAATTTTCCTACTGCTTACCTTCAGAGGGGCCATGGGGTCCATCTTGAACTTGTCTGGGAAAGCTCTGCTAAGAGCAAGATGGCGGGCTTGTATGTAGAACTGCAAAGAAGTCAGAGACACATTGAGATACATTTTACATTTAACTGAACATCTTGCTACGTTTTTCCTCCTTTGTTTTGAGACTTGAAATTTTCAGGATTATATTACAAACTGCAAAATGAAAGAACAGATGGATTAGAGGCAGAAGGGAAAACACAACAGAAAATTCTGCGTCCTGTTCCTGTTCAGGCCCAAATTTACACCCAGTAGGGCAACTCAATTCAGCTTGCTCTTGAACTTTTCTTGCACCAAACACACCCGTCCCAGGTATCTCCAGTCCAGCAGCTCAGACAGCCTCTCAGTTCGGTTCCGTTGGATGATGCGCTGGCGCCGAGACTGCTGGCAGAAACTGAACATAAACTGGGTCAGCTGGTTACAGGACTCCTCGGCCGAACGGAACCGCCGGTCGACAATGTAAATACCTGATGGAGACATTAAGTGACAAGAGGGTGAGAGGAAGAGACAGCCCTTGAGGATCAGCATGTGGACAGTCATGTAAGTCACGTAGTTCCTCAAAATGAAAGGGCTGTTGGCACTTTGAAATGAGGCAGCAATAGCAATGATGTTTGTGCGTGTGTGTGTATGTGAGTGCACATGGTGTGATATGTCCTCACCATAGGCAGCAGGGTCTGAGACATGCTCCTCCATAAAGCAGCCGAAACCTGAGAGGTTGGTGGTCACACTGGGAATGCCCATTACAGTACATTCACCTGGGGAAGGACAACACAGCTCAGAAAAAAGACAGTATGTTTGTTGTCATGTGTATTGCTATCAGGTGACAAAATGCAGCATCTAGAAGCCATTTTAAAGGTCTTTAAGAACACGTTCTGGGTCCCTCCGCTTCAACATAGGACACTGTAGGTACCCCTCTAGTGTCATTTGGAAATATGCAACGTGGTTTTAAACTTTCAAAATAAAGCTTGTACGATTGTGAAAGTGTTACAGTTTGGTTAGTATTAGGAAAAGATCTTAACTGACATAACTTCAGCAAGTTTACAACTTACATATCTTACTTTTGACTTTTGATTTCACAAGGGACACAAACCATTCATCCACCCCATCACCTCTATATTCTGACTTTCTTACTCTTTATACTACTACTTTTATACTACCTGACCTGACTTCGATGGTGGGAACGTCCACAAATGCTAGGGCTGGGTACCAAAACACAGTAATAACTGAATCATAACGCAGATGGTGGTGCTTTGTTTCAGTACCAGAGCTGCCTATTGAAATAGTTGCCCTCTGGTTTGGATGTTACAGGCAAGTTAATATTACGGAAGTTCTCTCTCTACATTGCTCTGGCAGCAGGTAGCCTACCATTAGCTAGCAGCTACCTTAAACACAGTTAAAAAGCCGAGCTGAATGGTAAAAGTCTGGCTGTATTTCACTTGAAGGGATTCCAACAAATCAAACTAATTGTGTGTAAAAAATAATTGCTGAAGTTTAAAGCTGGATATTGTAAAATACCAACTCAAAATATAAATATAATGTCTTATTGCAGAGGGTCATTGAACCTTGTAACCTGAACTGGCTTGCAGGCTTCATTTAGGCTGTCTCGTTGCAAAGTGTGCATTTGGTATACAGAATGAATCCTTGCCCCCTGTGGCTGCTGTGGAGATTTTGAGAAACAGCATTTGTGTGCAGATGCATTATTTGCATTATATTGCAATGTGAGGGTAAAAGGTTACCAGGTGTGTATCCCCATGGTTCATAGTAGGAGGGGAACACTCCAAGGTTACAGCCACGAACAAAGTCCTCATAGTCCATGGGCAGCAGAGGACTGGTGGAGGACAGGAACTCAGGGTGGAAGATAATCTTAGAGGTGGAGGACAGACAGGGAGACATTTTCAGAGAGATATTGTGGAAACATGGAAGTAAAAATACGCATTCTTCATGAACACTGGGAAATAATAATAATAATAATA